AATGGCTAATTTTTATTGAGCATTCAATAAAAAAAATTGTGTTTTTATTGATTTCAGAGAGAGAGGAAGGGAGAGGGAGAGATAGAAACATCAATGATGAGAGTCATTGATCAGCTGCCTCCTGCATCCCCTGGACTCCCCTACTGGGGACTGAGCCCTCAGCCCCCGCATATGCCCTGATGGGGAGTCAAACCTTCCACCTCCTGATTCATAGGTCAGTGCTCAACCGCTGAGCCATTCCAGCTGGCCCGTTTTTGCTATTGTGTTGTCACTCACCTATCTAGTACCAGATATTTAGCATACATCATCTAGGACCCTCACAACTATCCTACAAAGTAGGTTTATCATTCCCATTCTACAGATGAGGAAATTGAGCCTCAAGTCAATTGTAACTTGGTCAGGCAAAATTGGCCAAGTGACAGGATTCAACCCGTCTGACTCCAAAGGAAGTGCTCTTTCAGCTCTATTATATTGCCTCACCATGAAAATTTTCCTACAATCCTGCACAGTTCATTTCTTCCCCTAACTAGCTATTTCCATGGCCAACATCCTCCCAACTAGTTAGAAACAGTTATTGAGACTGAATGCAATTAGTTACATAGTTATGTCATTTTGACTTGTTCACGTTTAATTTCCATGAAATGACAGTCAGTGGTTTGCAATCCCAGCTGCACATTAGAATTATCTGGGGTAATTTAAAAATTTTGTTGATTGATTTCTCGAGAGAGAGAGGAAGGGGGAGAGAGGAAAACATTGATTTGTTGTTCCACTTATTTATGCGTTCATTGGTTGATTCTTATTTTTTTTATTATGTTTTTATTGATTTCAGAATGAGGAAGGGAGAGGGAAAGAAGGAGAGAGGGAAAAACATCAATGATGAGAGAGAATCATTGATTGGCTGCCTCCTACACACCCCCTACTGGAGATTAAGCCACCAACCGGGGCATGTGCCCTGACCAGGAATTAAACTGTGACTTCTTGGTTTGTAAGTCAACGCTCAACCACTGAGCCACACTGGCCAGGCCATTGGTTGATTCTTATATGTGCCCTGACCAGGGATCAAACCTGCAACCTTGGCGTGTTGGGTTGACACTCTAACCAAATGAGCTACTCACCCAAATGAGCCTGTCTGGGGAAGTTTTAAAAATTATACATGTCCGGCCCTACCTCCAGAGATCCAGACTCAGTTGTTCTGGATTGGGGCTCAAGGTCTAGCGTTTTGAAAAGCTTTCAGGTAATTCTACTTACGTGCAGGCAGAGTTGAGAAAGTGTTATATCAGGAAGTTGGGACATGAAGAAAGGCTGATGAAGGAATAACTGGGGGTGGGACAGGGGAATGAGTCACTGGGGAGAAAAAGGGACATCTGTAATATTTTGAACAAAAATAAAATTAAAATTAAAACGAGGGAATAACAATAATAAAGCTACTCTACGGACTTTGAAGATATTTTTTGTTTTCTAATAAAAAATATATTTATTGTTTTTTCTGCCAGTACATGATCATTTTCCAAAAAAAGAGAGGGAGTGAATTAAGAAAAAAGCCCACTCTTGTCTTTCTGGTGCCCAGTTCCCATCAAGGAGCCATCCAGGAGCCCACCCACAGACACCTCATTAGAACAGAAGATGCTCCCAGCCCAGCGGTGCGGGGCTCAGCTGTTGAGCGTGGACCTAGGATCCAGGTGATTGGGGTTCGATTCCCAGTCAGGGCACATGCCCGGGTTGTGGGCTTGATCAATGACTCTCTCATCATTGATGTTTCTATCTCTCTCTCTCCCTCTCCTTTCCTCTCTCTGAAATCAATAAAGATATATTTAAAAAAAAAAAAAAAAAAAAGGATGCTCCCAGTGCTCTTATCACTCAGGAATTTGCAAGGGTTTTAGGAGTCCTATGCTGGGATATATAAACACATAGTCCCCCCAAAACACATACATACACTTTGAATAATTATAAAGGCAGTGTTTATTTAAATACATTTCATTTTCAAAATTGAGCTATCAGCTATTGAAGTGTGTACACATTTATATATGTGTGTGCATGTATATGTTTAATTTTTTTTCTGTTATCTCAGAAAGAGGGAAAGGGAGAGAGAGAGAGAGAGAGAGAGGGAAAAGGAACATCTTCCATAGCCTCATTTCTGGGGGAACCACCATTATTAATAGTTTGGAGTATATACTTTCACATATTTTTAGGCCTATATAAAATTAATTTTTTTAAACATAAAAAGTTTAAACACATTACACTTTCTGTAAACTTTAATCAATAATAAATAGCTCTTCATGTCAGTAAATAAACATCTACCTTTTCCTTCTTAGTGGTTTGTTTAGGAGTACCACACTTTATTTGGCCAATCTCCCATCAGTGTAAATTTATTTCCAGTATTGTGTTCTGCTTTCTGATCTACAGGACGGATAGGACAGTCCCAAAGTCTATCAAGGAAAATCATAAACCAATATTAGGAAAACTGCTGCCACAGGGGAATACCAGACCACCCTCAAAATTCCCCCAGTCCCTGTAGTTGCTTCAGGCCAGAGTAGGCTAGACCTACTAGAATAACTCTCACCTTAGTTCCCATCTATGCTTCTGAGGACTGGATAGCTATAGTAAGCGTTCTCAACATGCTTGGGTTGGGCCTAGGGAAATGATCACTCTCTCCAGGTGAAGGTCATTCCACGTCATTCCCTATCAAGCAAACTGCTGCTACACTATCCTTTACCTAATGAACTCTCCTTCAATTCATCTGAAAATAAAATGGTTCACTGGGATTTGCCCTGGATCTTTCAGTAGCCCTAGCTCTCATATTAGTATCTGTGGGCCCAGCCCCAGTCCTCTAGGACTCTTAAATTCTCCCAACTGAAACAAAATAATCTTTTGTGTTTTCTCCCTAAAGCCTAGGAAGAGAGTATATTGCCATCTGCTTGTATGTTAACCTGATGGATTATTTCCTGAGGTTTCATGTTCCAAATTCTGAAACAAGTTGTGTGGGCTTTTCTGTTATACATCCAGTGCAATTGCCCAATCCTTTTGATTACCACCACCAGTGTATCTAATTTTTCTGTGCTCTGCCAATGGATTACTGGGCATGTGTGGCGAGGGTGGGAGGAACCCCCATGAAAATATTTTGTTGGGGCAGGGAGTTTAGGCGTGCCAACAGAAAGGGGAAATAGTGAAGGGATATCAGGCAGCCCTGCAACTAGCACAGAGTGGGGACTGAGGTGTAAGAATGCTAAGACACAGAAACCTAGTGTGAAAGTATCTGGGAAGTTCTCTGGTATTCCTGTGTCAAGAGTGCAAAACATTGATACCTATTTCATATCCTCGGTGCACTGATTTCCAGCCCAGTGCCCTGTCCTTTTATCACCTTTTCAATTTAAGTACTGGTGAAATGTTAATCACTTATCTTTTTTAAAAATAGATTCTTTTAGAACAGCTTTAGGTTTACAGCATGATGCAGAGGAAGGACCAGGAATATTCCATATACCTCTTGCCCACATACAGTCTCCCCTATTATTAACATCCCCCACAGTGATACCTTTGTTGTAATTAATGAACCTACCTTGACACATCATTATCACCCAAAGTCCAGAGTTTACTCTGGGTGTTGTACATTCTATGGGCTTGGACAAATGTGTAATGTCATAGATCATGTAGTGTAGTATATGATACTATAGAAACACACAACAGTTTCACTGCCCTAAAAAATCCTGTGATCTGCCTATTCATCCCTCCCTCCCTCAAACCCTGGCACCCACTGATGGCTTTATTCCATAATTTTGCAGTTTCCAGAATATAGTTGGCATCATATAGTATGTGACTTTTTTAGATTGGCTTCTTTCACTTAGTAATAAGCATTTGTTTCCTCCATGTCTTTTCATGGTTGACAGCTCACTTCTTTTTAATGCTGAAGAATCCATTGTGTGCCCTGGCCGGGTTGCTCAGTTGGTCAGTTGGTTAGAGCGTAATCCCAATACGCCAAGGTGGTGGATTCAATCCCTGGTCAGGGCACATTCAAGAATCAACCAATGAATGCATAAATAAGTGGAAAACAAATCGATGTTTCTCTCTCTCTCCCTCTCTCCCCCCTCCTTCCTCTCTAAAATAATTTTTTAAAAAATATATTGTCTGGATGTACCACAGTTTATTTTTCTGTTCACCTACTGAAGGACATCTTAGTTGCTTCCAAGTTTTGGCATTTATGAATAAAGCATTTTGCATTCCCAAGGGAGTGAATGAGAGTTCCTGTTGCTCTGTATCCTTGTCAGCATTTGGTGTTGTCAGTGTTACAGATTTTGGCCCTTCTAATAAGTGCCTTGTAGTATCTCATTGTTTTCATTTTCATTTCCCTGATGACATACAATGTGAAGCATCTTTTCACATGCTTAGTTGTCATCTGTGTATCATCTTTATTTTTTTTTTATTGATTTTAGACAGACAGGAAAGGGAGGAAACATCTTGTTCTACTCAAAGACTCATTCATTGGTTGATTCTTGTATGTCCCTTACTGGGGATGGAACCCACAACCTTGGTGTATCAGGACGATGGTAGCTAATGAACTGAGCTACCTGGCCAGGGCTGTGTATCTTCTTCAGTGAGGTATCTGTTAAGGCTGGTTCTGTTTTCAAGGGAAAAAAACAAAAAACTGTTCCAATGTAAAAAATTTTCTTAATACTTTTCTGTAGTGCTTAAATTTTTGTATGTGATATATTTACAAGAAAAATAAAGTTAAAAGAAACAATGGTTTTTTAAAAAATCCAGTGTTGGCGGAAAAAAATTTTTAAAAATCCAGTGTTGGAAAGAGAAGGAACTGAGAATGAAGTTAGTGGCTTGTGTCTGCTACTCCCCTCCCACCTTAAGCCTTTAAATAAACATGGCTTTTACAACTCTCCCAGAGAGTGGAGCCTGGTTAAAATAACACCACGACACACCCTCCCTATTTCCTTTACTCAGCACCATTTAATGTATTAAAGAATAGCTTTTTAAAACTCAAAACAGAAAACAGCACAGTCTCTTAATACATTTAATACATTCATAAGACTTCAAACGAAAAACATACATTATTCATGCTACAGGTTTTCAGTCTTACTTGGACAATACCAAAACACACAATACTCAAATTGCATGTTTTAACAAGAGAAACATGAAATCTCATTTTGACACAAAGACAGGTTAAAAATAAAATAAAACCAACACTTAACTAACCCAGCGCCAGCAGACTTCCTTAAATCCCCACTGTAGCCAACTCTGGATCTCACATTGCTACCTTCAGTACCAGCATTTCCCCTTCCCTACACAAAAAATTAGACATTTAGAGGTGTATCACTGAATGAGTATTACAACATACTTAAAAAAGAAATGACTACTTTGCTGAATGTTGGAAGAGGGGAACAGACTGGGTGAAGCTTAAAGGATAGTGAGACGACTGTGGGGTGTTCGTTTCATTCACTTCACTCTGCAGAGCACAGGGATTGTGCTCAGAAGTTAGCATAGGAACTAAAGACGCCAAGAAATAGCCCAACATTATTTACAAAAGATAGATTGTACTACTGTCTATGAAGAGCTTATAAAGATACCATGAAAAGATATTTAAGTTATAAAGTTAAATGAGAAAGAATAAAAACTGTATATACAGTATAATCTCAACTATGTAAAAACAAACCAATCCAAAACTGCCCTAAACAGGGTTGAAAATTCAAAATGTTAAGTTAGTGATTGTGTTTAAGTACTATATCTACAGTGATCTTTTCCTTCCTTTTGCTTTTTTGTCTTCTCCAAAAATTTCTCTATTGAACTTTTTAAAAACTGTTACACAAAAGGAAGCCTGATAGAAGTACTGAATGAATTTAAGTCTGGCCTATAAGAAAGTATTTGTACATTTATAAAACTATAAAACATTTCAGGCTACTCTCTGATTCCACTGTGTGTGAGCAGTAACTTCCCAGAGCTTAGAGAGCTTCGGGCTCTCCTCCAGCTAGGTGCAAAGTGTATCTAGATCCTGCCTGATGAAAAATGCTGAACCAAACAGAAATGTCATGAACTTACAAAAAAAAAGCCAGAAATAACCACACGTGGCAGAAACCTATCTACAGTACGGTAGTATCTCCTTAATACCAGAGTTAAACAAAAGGACCACTATTTTCTCCTATCTTCTGTGCAGATGTCAAGTTTCAAAAAAGTTATCACAGTAACTGTAAAAAGCTAATCCTGGTTTAGAAACAGAAATAAAGCAGCACTGTAACAATAGTGAACAGAGAAAAGCACAAAATTTAGAAAATTATAAAAAGTGTTCTATAAAAATGATTCCCTTCAAAACATTTATTTATTGTACACATTTTAAGGTCCCCCATTTTTCCCCTTGCAAAAAAGGGCAAACCTTCCAAACACTTTCTACCAAAGTATCCATTGGTTTGTTCATTCAACAAACACTGATGAAGGCTCATAGTGTGAGAGGCACTAGGGTCTCAAAGAGCAGATAGATCTGTCCCTGCCTCAAGGACATCACAGTCTTTTCAAAGCGGGAGGCAGACACCAACCACAATACTGCAATTAAAAGCAGATGCTGCTGCTTTCTCACAAGCAAAGAATATGCTGGAGTTTTCACTGAATTACATGAAGGTTCTTACACAGAAACTTTCCTGACTTACTAAGAGGCAAAAATGCAACTACTTTCCCTTGAAAAACACTTCCAGAGAGCGCAGGCATTACATTTTGTGATATTTGCCCCTAAACATCACATACCTAGAGAAGTCAGTTAACTTTCTTTTAAGCAATGGAGCATTTTTTACTCCAGTATTGAGACACCTTGACACCAAGAATAAGTGACCAGTCCTATATCTAGATTAAGAATAGTCAGGTCCATCAAAAGCTGAGGCTCAGGAGTGCAAACTTCAATTAAAATCTTCAGTCTCTTCTTCCATCTGTTGATTTTCAATATGCTCCTGTGTCAGCCGTTCCAGGTCTTTCTTCACATTCGGGTGGTCTTCCAGATCTTCGTACAGTGATCTCACAATGTCCAGTCTCCTGTAATTCTCAGGCTTGACGAGGCTTCGGACAACCTGAAGGCATCGCTCTTTTAGGGTATACACTGTAACGGCAGAAAATCAAATCTTTAGCACCAAACTCAGGCAGGCCTTGAGACAAGGAATGAGCAAGAAGTTTTTCCAACTATGGCAATTACATTTACTACAGGTGGACCTCACTTTGGGCAAAAAAAAAAAAAAAGTACATGCGTTGTGGCAGAATGTAACATGATGGCCCCAATTGATATTTCATGGTATTCATAACCTTGTGCAGTAACTTCCCCTTGAAAGTGGGCTCAGCCTGTGATGTGCTTTAATAACTGAATGTGAGTAAAGTGACAATGTAGCAATGTTGGGTGTAAGCCTTAAGCAACTTCCACTTTTACCTTCTCAGAAGCCCTGCGTTACCCTGCAGGAGAGGCCACACGAAGAGGGATAGGCACTGAGACTACACGGGAGAGAAGCGTAGCCCTCAACCAACCTGCCAGGAGAAGGCAGCTATACTAATGACCACCAATGAATTGAATAACCACCTAGCTGAGCTCAGCCCAGATTGCAGAATTATGAACAAATCAGATGGCTGTTGTTAGTTTTGGGGTAGTTGTCACACAGCAACAGATAACCAAAACACTGTACAATTGGATTTGGGGAAAACTGAAATCTGATTTTACTCACTGGGAAACTTACCCCTCAAGGGTACCCCATGAGGCAAAATTTCTCCATTTAATTGATCAGTGATCATTTTCATATACCCACTTCCTTAAAACAGGATCTATATACACATATTAGCTTGAACCTTATAAAGGGGCAAAGGGACAAATATTTAGTGTGGGTTTTTTTTAACCCCACAAGAACATCGTTTTTTTAGGGTTCAATATAATAATCATTGTGATGCTAATGTTCAATTCAGTGATTTTTTTTTAAAACCCAACTGGCATTGTGAGCTTGACTGGGTTAAATAACATTAAAAGATACAATAGTAAAAGTCATATAAACAAGCCATGATATCTAATTCTCTATACCTTATTCTTCTGAGACTCCAGAGCATAATTCTGCTCTAACGCCAGGGAAGGAAAATGCGTTCATAATTCTACAATCAGATATTTTAATTTAGCCCACCTCTGCCAAGCCCAAAGAGATTTTTATTTTATTTTTTGAGAGAGAGAGGAAGGGAGAGGGGGAGAGAGAGAAACATCGATTGGCTGCCTCCTGCACGCCCCCTACTAGGAATCCAACTGGCAATGTTTCGGTGCACCTGATGATGCCCAACCAACTGAGCCACACCAGCCAGGGCCCAAAGAGTTTTTGAAACACCACAACACCTTTGCTCAATACAGAGCCTACAAATACATTACTTCCATTTTATTTGTGGTGGAGAATAGTGCACAAAAAGGTTGAATACCTTGCCGAGTATCAGGCAAAAATCAGTTAGGGCTTGGCTTCTGCAAGTGGTCTTTCCTCTACTTATTACAATAGCCTTATCTTTTTAAAAATAAGATGGAAAAAAAAAGTAAGGTGGAACATCAGTACCTGGTAGTGTGATGTTGGCAAAAATAGGCTGTCCATCAACATTGAGAGATGGCACAAATAGTTCAGTTTGGTTAACCAGAAGCCCATCATATGTCCCAGCATCTCGGAAGAGCCAAAGGTGACCTGTTAATACAAGCAGAGGCTGTGAAGTAGGCACACACCCATTTCCTTCAATTCCCTGGACTGACAATGAAAGACTAGCCATTCTGCTTGTACATCATACAAAGGCCTTCCAATAATATTAGCTTACTCAATACTCACCATAGATTTACAGATGAGAAAATAGGTCTGAAAAAGCCAAGTGACTTGCTCAAGGCAACAGGGCCAGTAAACAGAAGAGCATGTACTTGAGGTTCCAAATCCTACCTCTATCTTCTACCATGGAGGAAAAGCAAAGTACACGAATTGCAAATCACACCAACACCGAAAACTAAAAGAAGAGAGGAGGTCACTGACTCCTCAAATCTGTGTTTCTCAAAAACAAGATGCAAAAACATCATGTTGAAATAAAGAAGCCAGACAGAAAGGGTACATTTTGTAGGAATAGATGAAACTAATCTATGACGTAAAAAATCAGAAGAGTGGTTGCCTCTGGGAGGGAGGGAACTGAGTGGAAGGGGCAGGAGGGTACTCTCTGAGGTGATAGAAATATTCCAATCTATAACTTCATTTAGGTGTGGCTGCATTTGTCAAAACACATCAAAGACTAAGATCTGTACATTATACTCTATGTAAATTATACCTGAATTTAAGAAACAAATATTCACATGCAAGAGAGAGAGAGAGAATTAATCCCTCAGGATTAATTCTGTTTAAGGAGGGAGGATGTGTGTCTCAGAATAAATATAGCATGTGTTTCTGGGGAATAAGCTTACTTGAAGATTTGATGGGAAAATTTAAGAAATGTAAACTGGTAAATAATTTTTTTGTTGTGTAAAATATACATAACATATATTGACCATTTAAACCATTTTAAGTGTATAATTCAGTGACATTAAGTATATTCACATAGTAAGTAATATATACAATATATATTAATATATATTAATATACATATTATCCCTACTCAAGGATGTTTTTGTTGATTTTTTTTTTAGAGCGAGAGGAAGGGAGAGGAAGAGAGAGAAACATTAACGTGAGAAACACTGATCAGTTGCCTCCCACACCAGTCCTCACCGGGGATCGAACCCAAAACCTGGATATACGCTCTGACTGGGAATCAAACCTGGACCAGTGCACAGGGCTGCTCTCCAACCAAGCCATACCAGTCACCTGGCACAATACATAGCTATTACAATATTATTGACTATACTCCCTATGCTGTACTTTACATCCCTGTCACTATTTTGTAATTGCCAATTTGTACTTCTTAATCCCTTCACCTTTTTCACCCAGCCCCCCAACTCTCCTCCCTTCTGGCAGTCATAAGTTTGTTCTCTGTATCTGAGTCTTTTTCCTATAGTTGTGAAAATTAAGCTAGCCTAGGACTACTTTTTCTTGAAAGTCATGGGGAGATTACTACCTCCTTAGGCATAAAGACCTAGTTGTCTCCCCTTTAGGTTATTACAACAGCTTCCTAACTGGTTCCTCAACAGCAGTCTTCCCCTTCAAACCACTTTGCAACCTGAGTGAGTTTTTCAGAATGTAAATCTGACAATGTCCTGTCCCTGCTGGAAAACCTTCGAAGGCCCCCCATTTCCCTAGGGGTAAAATCACCTTTAGGGTTTCCTTTCCCACAATTCCATACCCTGCTCTCCTTTAGCCTATGCGGCTCCCTCGGCCTAGAACTCCTGTCGGGTTGGTCAGCTCCCACGCATCCTGCAGGACTCCCTTTCTTCTCTGGGAAGCTCTCTCTAGTCGAAGCCACACGTGTACACAAACCACCACCACCACCACCACCCCTTCGCTGAGAAGAGGCCGGTTCTAAGCTCCTGCAACCCGCTGCGCTCCGTTCCTATCCCAGCAATTTTGACCCTCGCTTGTTCTCCTGTTTGTGCAGTCGTCTGACACCCCACCGGGTTGTGTTCTCCATGCAGGCAGGGCGCCTACGCGGACCTGGCCCACTGGGGACATCAGAGAATGAGGTTCTTCCATTCACGGACTGAACGAATGAGCATTAGGGATGGAGCACTGCTTTTAGGGTAACTATACGTGAAAGCGGATGGGGGGAAAGCCACTATCAAATGCAGATTAACCAGTTTTATAAAGAAGAATGCTCTGCCACTTAGTAGCAGCGTCAACTCGGATCCGTCACCACCTCTCTGGGGCCTCAGGTCCTCGTGAGTAACTGGGAATAGTGACAGCAACACCTGCCGCCCCGGATGGTGGGGGGGATTCGCTGAGTTCGTGCCACCGTCGCTGCTGCTATCAGGCCTGAGGCGCTGGGCACAGCTCGGCACCGGCGGGCAGGCGCTCTAGCAGCGGGACAAAGGGCGACCCTACCTCGGTAGCTGTGGATGCGGCGGCCCGTGCCCGGCGGCAGCGTGGGGTAGGGCTGCGGTTCGCCGTCGAAGTTGAGCCACACAGGAAGCACGACGCGCGGGCTGCGGTTGCAGAAGATGACCTGGGACGGCTCCCGCGAGTTCACCGAGCGCAGCACCGGCCGCGGCTTCCCGGCCTCCATCTCCTCCGCGGCGTCCGCCTCCTCACGACTGGCCTCTTCCCGGCGCTACCCTTCGGGGCGGTTCTCCTCTGCGCCCGCCCCGGCCTCCTGCAGCTCCCCCGCCTTCCGGGGCTTTACCTCCCGGAGCCTAGACAACCCGGCCTC